CGGCGAAAGGATCCCGAATTATGGGCGGAAACACTTCGCGAGTCTAACACCTACAGGCGTCAGCTGATAGATCAAGTGGTGCAGACCGCTTTATCAGAAACCCAAGATCCGGAAGAAATTTCCGTCGCTGTTAGAGCGTTCATGGCCGCGGATATGCCAAACGAGTTAATTGAGCTGCTGGAAAAGATCGTCTTGGATAGTTCTGCATTCTCTGATCACAGGAACTTGCAGAACTTGTTGATCCTGACCGCAGTCAAAGCCGACAAGTCCCGAGTAATGGATTACGTTAATCGCTTGGATAATTACGATGCTCCAGACGTGGCTAACATAGCTATCAACAATGGTTTGTTCGAGGAGGCATTTGCTATATTCCAAAAGTTTGAAGTCAATACGTCCGCCATTCAGGTACGTTTAACCTTACATCTCAACCAATCTGTACTTGATCGTATTACCCCGATGGCTATTGGTACATATGAGTGGGGCCTCAAGAGTCTCTTCGCAAACATTGAAGTTTTTGAGCTTTAAAACCGCTCTTCTGTGTGCAGTAGTCGAGTTTTCTGACAGCACATCCTTTCTGGGTTTGGTGCTTCGTTTGGACTTGAGTTATTGTAAAATTTGAGAGCTCCTTTTTGAATGTATGAGAGTTTCTAACCTAAATTTATGAATGTGGTTTACCTTTATCTTCAAAGTTAATTTCTTGATTCACGTTTGCGGTTATCAAAGGTGTGAGACGCCTTTTTATCGGTGAACCTATGTATTGGGATAAAAACCGAAGTCGATGATAATCCATTTTTATTTTCTTGCTCTGATCCTCAGAATTCTCAAAAATCTCTTCCAGGTACTGATAGATCATGTAAAGAATCTTGATCGAGCATATGAGTTCGCCGAACGTTGCAATGAACCGGCTGTTTGGAGTTTGTTGGCTCACGCTCAACTACGTGAGGGGTCTGTGAAAGAAGCAATCAATTCATACATCAAAGCAGCTGACCCGAGCCGTTTTGAAGAAGTGGTTCGCGCTGCTTCAAATGCTGACCAGTGGGAAGACCTTGTCCGTTATCTTCAAATGGCTCGCAAAAAAACTCGCGAAACGTTTATCGAATCAGAGCTGGCTTTTGCATATGCGAAAACGAACCGTTTGTCCGATTTGGAAGAGTTCATATCCGGACCAAATCACGCTAATATTACTCAGGTACGTGCCCTTTTGGTAGATAACATTTTCTTCCCTTCACTACCCCTTTACGTGCTTCCTTTTTGTTACTAGCTCCAGTGATTTAAATAGCTGCTCGGTATTCGTTTTGAATAATCTAAACTTCTTTAATGAGATCTTTGATAATCTTTGTCTGGATTCACTTTTGAGACAGTTTTTCCTCAGAGACGTGAACAGATATTTCAGTCACCTGCTCAATCCACTGTTTTCGTCAGTTTTCATTGGCGTCACCATCTTTCTGAAACAAAACATGTTTATTTTCAATTTAGGTTGCCGATCGTTGCTTCGACCATCAAATGTACGTGGCTGCCAAACTGCTCTATACAAATGTCAGCAACTATTCGCGTCTGGCCATCACTTTGGTGCATCTAGGCGAATATCAGGGAGCAGTGGACGCCGCTCGGAAGGCGAACTCAACTCGCACTTGGAAGGAAGTTTGCTGTGCTTGTGTAGATCATAAAGAATTCCGTCTGGCCCAGATGTGCGGTTTGCACATAGTCGTACACGCGGATGAACTGGAAGATGTGATCAATTACTACCAACAACGCGGACACTTTGATGAGCTAATACAACTGTTGGAAGCAGGTCTCGGTTTGGAACGGGCTCATATGGGCATGTTCACAGAACTGGCCATTTTGTATTCAAAATTCAAGCCAGAAAAAATGCGAGAACATTTGGAACTGTTCTGGTCCCGTGTGAACATTCCAAAGGTGCGTTTGAGGAACAACTTTGCATCGATGCTGCAGTTCGTCATTGCCACTTTGTTTTTGGTCTAAATTTTTATTTTTAATCTTGGATCTATAGTTATTAGGCCGCTGCCTCTGTCCCCATGGATCGACAAAACTGTATTCCATTTTTTCTGATAAAATATAATTCTAATTTAGTTTTTGTGATTGAGTTAGTGAGTTATTTGACATTGCTGATTATAAAACAGTTCATTTTCAGTCCCTTTTCCACTCTTTATCATATCTCAGTTTAGTTGAATTTCATTCACTAAATCTTTTGGACTATCATTTTAAAGATAATAAATTTGAGTTGAATTTTTATGTTCACAGGTGTTACGAGCGGCGGAACAAGCGCATCTTTGGTCCGAGCTGGTTTTCCTGTATGACAAGTATGAAGAATTTGACAACGCGATCATGACCATGATGAACCATCCAACTGATGCTTGGCGGGAGAATCATTTCAAGGATGTAATTACCAAAGTGGCCAATGTTGAACTGTACTATAAAGCCATCCAGTTTTATCTCACCTACAAACCACTCCTGTTGAACGATCTGCTTTTCGTGTTATCTCCCCGATTGGATCACACACGTACCGTGGCGTTTTTCCAGAAAGCTGGACACATTGCTTTAGTGAAACCCTATCTTCGCTTTGTGCAACAAAATAATGCGAACAACAAAGCTGTGAATGAGGCTCTGAACAATCTCCTGATTGAGGAAGAAGATTATCAGGTTTGTTTCTCAAGTAGTGGTGATGAGTTGCTTTGTACTGTTTTGTATTTACTTACAGTTGATACTTTATTCTGCAATTGATAGACGGTTTATCATTCATTCAGTTTTTACAACCATTAACCATGCACTTTCGTGCGCCGGTTTTGGTTGCCCATTTGGACAAAAGAGCGAAATGAAATGGAATGTCGAAGCAAATTCAAGCGGAAGATGGGGAATACATATAGAGTGGTGTTAGGAAAATAACGAGTGGATGCACGAGCGCCACTTTTTGCGACACCCAGCCATATCACTCAGTGAGCTAACCATCAGTCGACCATCATCTCGGGGTTAAGAATACCCCATCACAGTGATTTCACACGTTGCTGAAACAACCGAGGTCCCCAGCCACCCTGCCATATCACTCAGTGTAGCTAACCAACGGTGACCATCATCCCGAGATCCCCAGCCAGGGAGTCTAACGGGGCGTATGTGACCTAGCCTCCTGGTTAGGGTTTTCATACCCTCGTGCCAGGTCTTAGCTTGACCACCCTTGGCTTTACCTGCTTAGGGTTTTCATACCCTCGTGCCAGGTCTTAACTTGACCACCCTTGGCTTTTTCTACTCTGTATCTTCTTCGGACCATCATCCCGAGGTCCCCAGCCAGGGAGCCTAACAAGACCTATGTGACCCAGTTTCCTGGTAGGTTTTCATACCCTCATGCCAGGTCTTAGCTTGACCGTCATTTGTTTTTTTCCAATCTCTACCAGCCTTGGCAAACATCGTTCGCCGTGGCAACCTATCTGGTGACATGCGTAGCACATGTCCCAACCAGCGTAACCTATGGAGGTCGATCACCCATTCATTATCATACCTCATTTAGATCGTTTTAATCCGGACCCTGCCGTAAGCTCAAAACACAAACGATAGATATCGTCGACCTCGGCTGCCCTGCTGGAAGCTCGCAGAACCCTCCCTCCCAAAGCCATATATGACACAACGCGCAAGTCCCTCAAATGCCAGCTCATCAAGAGCCTGTGGAGTGACCGCGAGAAGTGGTGAATAGGAAAGTGTATAGAGATGGTGAAGGCTGCGGCTATCGGCAATAGTCGCAATCTTTTCCGTCTAGTTAGGAATACGGGTCCTAGGAAAATAAGCGTGGGGTAATTAGGGAATCCAAACGCACTCTGATTCACGATCAGCAACGCCGTCTTGATCAATGGGCTAGACACTTCAATGCTCAGTTCAATTGGCCCCCATTGACATCTGAACTATCACTCTTGACCTTGGCTGGGCTGATAGTCCCAGCTGATACCAGTCCTCCATCTGAAATGGAGGTTCCCCAGGAAATATGATATCTCAAAAGGCATAAGGTTTCCGGCCCCGACAGACTGTCCCCATTGGTTTATAAGGATGGAGGCTCAGCCTCAGTCTCACAGTTAACAAAGCTCTTGGCAGAGAGAACAAATTCCAGCTAAATGGTGAGTCGGTGGTCATACCGATTTACGAGACGGGCGATAGGTCCTCCTGTGAACACTACAGAGGAATTAGTTTATCAACATCATCTCTAAACTCTTCGCCGGCATCATACTCCGACGATTGTCAGCAGCACGTGAACGGTGTACGTGTGAGAACCAGACTGGCTTTAGACCTCATCGAGGTTGTATCGACCACATCTTCACTCTTCGCCAAACTCCGGAGCACCGAAATTCTTTTCGTAGACCCACCATCTCTGTCTTCCTGGATCTGAAAGCGGCTTTCGACTCAGACTTTAAACTCTGGCGCTGCCTTTCTCTGAAAGGTGTGCCCGAGAAGCTAATTTCAGTATTACAATCCCTTTATACAAATACCCGAAGTCAAGTCCGGGCTCATAGCAGTTTTTCGCCCGAGTTCACCACAGAAATTGGGGTTCGTCAGGGTTGCTTTCCCCTTTTCTATTTAACTGTGTGATAGACCTGATTATGGAAACGGTCCTATCCTCGTGCGACGATAATGACATCGATTTACTCCCAGGGGCAGGCTGCCTGAATATGCAGACGACATTGTGCTACTAAGTGAAGATCCGGATCAGCTGCAATCCTTTTTAGATAGTTTGAGTGCTAGTGTAACCAGGCTCGGTATGCGCTTGTACTTTCAAAGTGTAAAATGTTACTTCAGGACTGGGTTGATCCAGCCCCCAGCCTTACCCTAACTGGAGAAGTAATAGAGCAGGTGGATAAGTTTTTTTACTTGGGCAGCTACATCTGACCCGATGGACGCATCACGGATGAAGTGTCAGCTCGCATACAGAAGGCTCGATTGGCATTTGCCAACTTGAGACATCTATGGCGTCGTCACCACATCCGGTTATCTGTGGAGGGTCGAGTGTATGCTACGGCAGTTCAGCCAGTTCTGCTCGACGGCGCAGGAACTTGGCCATTATGAAAACAGGACAAAGGTAGACTGTCTATGCAGCATTACACGGTTGTTTGTGAAAGGTCAAGTGTATGCTGCAGCAGTTCGGGCAGTTGTGCTATATGGAGCAGAAACGTGGCCATTAGGAAACCAGGATGAAGATAGACTGTCGGTTTTCGAACACCGCCGTCTACGCAGCATTGCACGAATCTGGTGGGGTAGCTGGACGAGCAATGCTGAGGTCAGGCATAGAGTTTTAGGTAAACGCGATCGTCGTCTTGAGCAAATGGTCGATCTCCATAGATTACGCTTGTTTGGGACATATGTTACGCATGTCACCTGATAGGTTGCCACGACAAGCGATTTTCGCCGAGGCAAGCAGGGGATGAAAGAAAGTCAAGGATGAGAAAGCTAAAACTTGGTATGTAGATATGAAAACCCTCACCAGGAGTCTGGGTTACGTAGGTCCTGTTAGGCTCCCTGGCTGGGGACCTCGGGATGATCGTACCCGATGGTTAGAAGCACTGAGTGATATAAACATCGGCGTTCACGCATCTTCTCAATTTCTCTGCTTCATTAGTCCACTGAACTTTTCAATTCTCTCCGCTATCCTACTTTCAACCTTCTTGTTTTCCTCCTATTGTTCACACAAATGGGCAGCCAAAAGACAGCAATCAAAACCGGCGCACGATAGTGCATGGCTAAGGGTTGTACAAACTGAAACTGAAACCAACCAGAAGGCGATCCTGAATAGTTTTGTGGGAGTTTTATTCAGTCGTACGATCTCCATGTTATTCGTGGGAATTAATCACTGAATCGATTTCAATACTGAGCAGATAGTCGGTTTTACTATCCAGCATTAATTTTCTAAATGACTCTCGTCGGACTGTGACAAAATGTTCTAGTTCGACGGCCTATTTCACCCACACTGACCACACTCCAGTAAGTCACCAGTGAGTTCGCTGAGTACAAAACTACGGGTTCCACCGTACAACTTGCGTTGAGTTTGACCACCAAGTGGGGATAAGCTACCATACACCAGCTAAAATCCTGACCACAACTCACTCGTCATCATTGTCAGTCACTAAAAGTTTAGTTTCTGTATTAATCAATCGTGAGAGTCGAAAATTCGCTAGGTGCCGGTTGGCTCTTGACCAGGTAGTCGTTGAATTGATTAAATATTCACGTTGCGTCAAGTCTGTGAACTACATCACGAACACAACCCAAATATAATGCTTTTCCGAATGACAAGGGGATTTCGATTCAGTCAAACGCTAGGCACCGCATGTGCGGGAGGAAATGAAGGAATGAAACCCACAGTGATGTTCGTCCGGGGTGCTCTATTTCGCTAGTCCTGTTCTGAGTCGTCGTCGTCATAAACGAAATGCCGGATTACGCCCTCAGTTGTGGTCTCCGAATTTTTGGCACCACATGATCAACCGGGGGGGGAGGAGGGATAGTGCCACTGGTTGTTTGAAAACACTCTAAAAGACAAGGCAGCAAACTGACAACACCATCGTTCTTGTCATTCCTTATCCAGCCGGAATGGGTGAAAAAGTGCATATGAACAGTGTGAACAGTGTGTTCTGTGTTGACCATTGGGGTTCATTTTTCCTCCTATTCCCTAACCACCCTCATAGTCATACTACGCATATGTTATGAGCTTGGCAATGATTGGCAGAGTTCCCTTTACTGTACAAGAAGATGATGAATTGAGATTTTGAACAACACCTTAACAATGGGGGTATTCAGACGCCCAACAAATGAGCCTGGAGATAAGACCATTCTCAAACTGGGGCAGAACAGGCACATCAAGACCGAAGAACAAATGAACGTTCTACGGAGGGCTGTGCGGCACTTATGCAGTCATTTTTTTGCCCCAGTAATCAGCGTATGTTGGAGTTTTTGATTCAGTCCACTTTCTTTGTCAGTTTGATAAGAAAACGGAGTGTCTGAGGTTTTATTCCGTGTATTATTCGTTGTCGTCCTGTAGCTTATGATGGTAGTTGTAGACTGCTCAATTTTTTCAACCGCCACTTACCAAGGGATATTTGCAATACGTTTTGATTTTTTCAGGCTTTGCGGCAATCCATCGAGGCGCACACCAACTTTGATCATATCGCGCTGGCACAGCAGTTGGAACGACATGAACTGATCGAGTTTCGTCGACTTGCTGCGTTGTTATNAAAGGTAGCAGTCGGTGGGCTCAAAGTATCGAGCTGTGCAAACGTGATAAGCTCTACACGGTACGTCACCTATGATTGGGTGTTGACTTCAACCTTTTGGCACTCAAATTCGTTCACTTTCGCGATTAATTGCGCTCATATCCTGCATCAATTGATTGTTGGTCAGTTAATTAGAAATTGTTGTTAAACTGTAATATTTATGTAATTTTCATTAGGGCCAGGTCAAGATCTACAATGAATTATTGACAAAGTCGTTTGCTACTTGTTTCTGTATATTAGGATGCTATGCAATACGCCAGTGATTCTCGCAACCCGGAAACTGCCGAAGAACTGATACGTTGGTTCTTGGCGGAAAATCTTCCAGATTGTTTCGCTGCCTGCTTGTATCGCTGTTACGATCTGCTGCGCCCTGATGTGNAGCTTGCATGGCGCAATGGTCTTATTGATATGGCTATGCCGTTTATGATCCAGAGTATGCGAGAATTAACAACGAAGGTAAGATTAATTCATTTTATTGGTGCATATTCCCCCGCCATGTAGATTTCTATGGATTACTTTATTCATTTCATTCTTATTCTGGTATATATTAAGAAAGCAAAGGGCAAACATTTCCCCCATAAATAATATGGGTTCTGATACTCGTATAATTATACACATAATTATTATGCACTAAACTTCAACTATCTATCAACTATAAAGCGATTGCGTGGTACCTTGAGGATTTGATGCATACGAACTCGCTAAAGTCAGCGGCTGTTTTCCAGCTCGTGGATCTCGTCGCCTGAATGAATGTAATCATAATAGGTACAATTGTAGTTTTTTCCCTTACGTGTTTTTTTTTCACTGAACTGTCGGTACAATGCGATATATTGTCACCGGAATTTATTCACTTGGTTGATCTAACAGGTGGATAGCTTGGAACACTCAGAACAGATGCNCACTCAGAACAGATGCGTGCTGCTGAGGAAGAAAAGGCTGAGCAGGCAATCAATCCATTAGTGATGCGTACGTAATAATGTTTCCGTAATGCCATTTCCATTCAATTTTCTGTTAATCTTTGTTATTCGTACCGCATCCGATGCGCCTGGGTCATCTTCGATAATTGATATTGATTTTTCGTTTGTTTTTGCTCTATGAGATATGAGTGAAAGTGATTGTGTCACTTACTGGTTTTACTGAAAATTTACGGGTTACCTAATGTGGCCAGATTTCACTTACATATCCGATGCTTCAGAATGCTAGTTCTGTGTGCAATGTTGTCTCGGGCTAACGATTCTCTCAACATGGTTGAGGTGAACAGTGACATTTTATCCGGTGGTGTTTTTTAGACCATCCATAGGTAGAAAGCCACTGGATCGCCATATCCATTTCTGTATTGCCTGGGTAAGCCTGGTTCGTTGTCGATCCCTTCCTGCAACTTAGCTTTGCCATATAAATGAATTGAAAACATTAAATATTTCGGGTTTTCAGTTTCATGTATGGGCTTTACATATTCGTGGTCTACTCGCCCTTATTGATGACTTTAAAAAGCACCGCAGGGTGGTTATAAACCCACTAAAAATCACAAGCGTGTGGTTGTTAATGACTGATCGGTGTGCTGTCGTAGTTAG